CTCTCTGTCTCTCCAAGATCCAAGTAGGGCGATCCGACAACAGCAGCCTGACTTCGGTATGTACCTGACTCTCCCCTCCCTCACTGTGACTCTCTCTGTCTCTCTCTCTCTGAACTCTCACTCTCAAGACTTGTATCACTTGTCCTCACTATCACACTCTCTCTCTCCTCACTCTCGCCTACTTGGATCCACCCTGAAAACATCCGTTTGTCACCACCTCAGACCTCTGCGGCTATGGCCGCTGTACCTAGCTATGGTCATCATCAAGCGCCTTCTTCCATCAACCAGGCGCATGCCACTCACATCACAGTGTCGCACTGTCATGGTCATCATCAAGCGCAACCAGGCGCATGCCACTCGCATCACAGTGTCGCACTGTCGCTCAAGCATCCAGCAGGGGTTCCACCGTTCCACAACTCGTGAATGAACAACTAAATAGCGCTCGGAACTGTAGCAGCTTTAAATAGCATGTTTGAGCTGCTGTTGCCTGCTTTGGACCAGTACCGGTCTCCCATGGCCTGTCCAGCTGCAATTTTGTCGTTCCGGATGTATCCGGACCTTCTTGGGACACTGCTGCAAAATGGGACTTTGGGACTGACTTGGACCGACAGACTTTTACCAGTCGGTGACGCTGCGGTTCCGAACTCTACCGGATCGTGATGCTTCGACCTATAGACCCCTATGGACCCTACCGACCTGGGACTTCGGCCTACTGGGACTGCCTAGGACCGGGACCCTCCGGGACCGGACCGAATGAGACTCTGGGACCGGGAGTGGGACATGTGTGCAGTGTGACGTTCTTTCACTCCTGCTGGCCTAATCTCTAGGTCATCCCTGGGACCGGGACTGGGACATGTGTGCAGCGTGAAAGCCTTTTAATTGTTACTATTATTATTTATTGTGTTGAAGAGGCTGGGGGAGATAAGGAGGTTGAAGATGATGGCAAGTTGGAGGGGGATGTGACATTGGTCTTTGCTGGTGTACATCTTCTTCTTCTTCTTCTTGCATTCTTTATTCTTCTTCTTCCTTTGTCTATTTCTCTTTCCGAGTTCTTCCATTTCAGTTGCTATGGGACGACATTGTCTTTCTTTTTGTTATTCTGCTTCGAAATAGCCAGGATCATAACACATTTCACAATTAGGGTAGGTACTAATGTTCTGTTGTTGGTTCTTGCAGTGACTCAGTTGTTTCTTATTGTGTGCTTGTGCCAACATGTGGGCAATCTGACTGTAGGCAGGTTACGAGCCTTCTTTCTTCCTCCAGAGACGGGAGATTACAAGTTCCATATCTATGGGCCGGCTCGAGGGTGAGACCTCCAAACCAATTCATTCACACATTTCCTCCTTTCTTCGTCCTCGCATGAAAACACACATGCCAGAGATGGGCTGTTGTTAACTTGTTACATATGAGGGGTGGTTGTGCCCTGGCAAATCACTTCATTTGCATCCAAAGATGGTGCCCCATGTGCTGTCCATCTAACTTATGGCTCGAGCAATTGAAGAACAATGATGTCAATATCAACGGTATCGAGGGTAGCTGTAAATTAGTGTCCTTGTCACAAGGTTTCCATAGTCCCAAGTTTCGGCAGGTCATTCATTAAGCATGGCTCCTGGATGAACAATATGATAATATGCATGGACATCATATCATGTACTGCTATGCAGTTGATGCATCAGCGACTTCATTGGCTACAATGTCCGAGGGGCATGGGGCATTGCCACGTAGCTAGCAAAAAGATCCTGGCATGTGACAGAGGGAAAAGAGTAAGAGTCTTATCATGTCCTAATAGCTCACCTCCATTTGAAATGTTTAATGCATTTCAGTTTTCACACATACCTGTGTGTTACTCTTAACTACCAGTACATCTAAGCCTCTTTTTTCCGATGCCAATTTCTGCTGCACATCAAGTTTTGCTGAATCGGCATGGATGCAAAATTGAGTCTTTTTGCCTGGCTCCGCTAACCTTTTCTGGTCGGCAGGGTGAGTCCCCAAGCACGCGGCGCGCTGACCACCGTGTCATAACAAAATAGCTGGGAACGTACTGGTGGTTAAAAGTGGAGAAGTTCTCTAATTGAAACTGGGTAGCGAACCTGAATGAGAAGCCCAGACAGGTAGGGAGCATGAATCGTGAGAGGGGTCGGGTGGACCTCTCCTGTCCATCCTGGAAGCAAACGATGTGTGATTAGACCAACTGCAGCTGTCAACTTTGCTGCAACTGCCACCGCAACGATGCCAGAGTTGACCCGCAGAGGGCATTGGTCAAGGGGCCGAACCTCAGCAGCTCATTGAAGATCAACATGTGCATTCTCTACAGTCAATTAATTCCTGTAACTCCAGTGTTTGCCTGATCAGGACCACATGCTACTGGGTTCTCAACTGCCTACCTAAGTGCCAGCCTATTGATTGCCTCTGTGTGGTGATGCACAGTGATCTTCAATTCAATTAGGGCATGAGCACATCACCGTTACTGCCAAGGAGCTCTTTCATAAAGTTTCATGACATTGTTGAGGCTGACTGTTATTTGGTTATCATGGAGATTGTCCCTCTTTTGTGCTCGTCCTTGTACTCGTGCTTTTCCGGTTTCTGCACCCACCCTTGATACACTCTTATGGCACGTCCTTCATGCCAAGAAGCACTCAATCGGTATACTTAAGTGCCACTGACATCCATGGTCTCTGGTTATGTCTGGTAGTAATCACATTGCTTACCTTTTCTGCATTCAGCATGTTATCAGGACATTTACTTTCACGAGGGTCCATGTGATGTTTAATTGACTTCACTTGAGCCATTCCTGTCCACTTGCAGTCATGGTCATCCTCTATCTGTCTTAATGTTTCTGTTTTCATTTGTGAATGTACATTCTCTCCTTTGAGCAGTGGTTTGGACACAGCTGTGGGCACTAGGATGAGTGGACGTGCAGCCATCCCCTGCTCAAGTATGTAGACATGGGTCGTTTGTGGTCGTCTTTGTGTGTATTTTTTGCATATCGCTTTCCTGTGCTCTCGTTCTTTCTTTTGCTCGCACTCTCTCCTTCTGCCTGCTTTCTGCAATTGAACCACCAGTGCCCCCGACGAACTGAAAATGCACTGTCCGATGAATTCGCGATGGGCGGCGGGAGACCAGCCAACCATGAGCTGAGGTGGACTGGTTCCCACTTCGTGGAAGCAGGACCACCACACATACTGGGCCGCCTTCAGAAGTTGGCCACACTGGTGTCAAATGGTCCACCAGACGGAGAAGCACATCTGCTGGTCCGAAATGTTGGCCGAAAAGATCCGAAATTGAGGGTCAACTTTTTTATTTGTTTGGTTTTAGCCATGCATATATTTTATAATATAAAGTTTATAAACCGCCAGTAAGGCCCAGTATATTTCTCAGCCACCTTTCTCAAGCTGCGCTGTATACCCGGAGTGACCTTTGGGGGTCGAGGCCGCTTCAGCAGGCCCTCGATGGATTTCGTCTACGGCCTGCAAAGTGGCCCCCACACCGAAAGTCGTGGCGCGTATACGGTCCTGTCAGAGCAAAATGGCTGGGAAATGCTCCCGTGGTTAAAGACAGTCTACGACTGACTTGAACCGGAGTCCTTTCCCTTACCAAGTCAATGCTCGACCACCTGAACTATGTGGGGATCACAGGGAAAGTTGTTTGGTGGTGATCAGACTTGAACTGATAACTTTGTACTCGTGAAGTATGTGTTATACCTCTTGAACTATGTTCCTGACGGGAGGGTGGCTGGAAATTTTGGCCCCGGCCAAAACAATTCTCGCTGCACATTGCCAAAATTTTGTTCACAGCACGGCTCGGAATTGTTTTGGCCTGCCGAGCGGCAAGTCGCAACTCTGCAGACTTTCATTGTTAGGCCAAAAACAATTTTCCTCTCTGCACCTTCTGGTATCCCGATTTTGGAAGCATCGGTGGGACCTGTGGTGGTGATTAAACCAATGCATTGGCTGGTTTTCTGTCAGAATTCAATGGAATTGTCTGCTACTGGGAGAATGGCGAAATCCTGGAACACATCCCTCCCCCTTCACCAAGCCTCCCTCAGCTACACTGACATTCTTGTCAAGGGTTAGGAACTTAGGACTGCCAGTCTGCTAGGGTTGCAGGGTTGGTGTGAGTAAAGCCGACCACATTTCTCAGGGATATGACTAGCTCTGGGCGACGTGGTCAGTCCTTACCTCAGTTCAATGCATCCTGGGAAGACTGTCAGGGTTCAACATCCTGATGAAAGGAAGGTCTTACAAAACAGCACGGCACAGTCATGCTTTTATAGTGAACATGACAACACACATACACACTTTTTGTAGATGTGTGCATTGTGTGTTTTCCCTCTGAATGCTCTGCCTGCTGGTTGTCACTACAGACTATTGTCATCTTCAATCCTCAGTCAGAGTTGCACTTTTGTTAAATTTGTGGTTAAAATTTGTTTGTTGTGTGCCGCACTCTCTGTGGCATGGAGCTGACTGACTGTTGTTCACTGCAGAATATTCCCTGGCTAAGCCAGCTGCAGTGAGCCCGATCGTAATCTATAGAATCCATGGGATATCAGTTGCTTATAGAAACCATATCTCGTTGGGTGATGCAGGGAACTGTACATGACTTGGACCTCATCTGCTGGTACTTTCAATAATGTGACAAACCTTACAAGGGTATGTGATGTCTGTGCTGCTGGATGCGCCTTCCTATTACCTTAGAGCTAGATCCTTCTTAAGCAAAATAGTTGAAAGCTAGGCTTTTTTTCCCCGGGCGCCCGGACACACGCCCGGGTGCTAGCCAGGGCATGAACCCCGGGCAGGGTCCCTTGCGGCCCCAGCGCAAAAATAAGAAAAGAAAATAAATTCCAGGAAAAAAAGAATTGCGATGATTGTGTAGAATTGCTATGCGAATAACTTTTGGCTGAGGGTCACATCAGAATTCCTCGTGGAATCAAAAGAGAAAATAATAGAATCACACTAAGGCACCCCTTTAGCCCCTTAAGAACTGGTTTATACCCCCCCTCCCCCCCTTTCCCCCCCCTTGACAGCATCACCCCCGATGCCTGCCCGGACGGCCCGTCCGGGTGTGACAATCTTCCTTGGTTGAAAGAGAATTTGAATCGATGCATGGCTGTGCCGGCAACCGGCCGGTTGGACCGGGCCGGATCCAACCAGGCCAGTTGGACCCCCGGGGCTCCAACCGGAATTCCGGTTGGGCCCAAAAGTGGGTCAAATTTTTTATTTTATTTTTTTGTTTGAAAACATGGTTGGACTGCGCTCACCGAGATCTCCCTTAATCCGCAAAAAAAACTTTGAACAGAGAAGTTTCGTTTGGGGGATTGGGGGGTTGGGGGGGAAGGGATTTCAGGGGTTGAGGGTCGGGGGTTGGGGGGTCTATGGTGAGGGTGTTAGTGGTGGGGTTTCAGCAAGCAGGGGCTTCAGCAGACATTGACAACAACGTACCTGGCTTTCTGGAAACGTTAACCTTCCGCCCAAAACTTTGAAAAGGGGGCTGGGGCTGTTAGTGGCAGGGTAGGGACGGTACTTCCCACCCAAAAACTTTGAAAAGGGGGGTGCGGGTTATAGTGTTAGGGGGTGCTTGTCTCTGTTCTTGATACTGGCAGGGTGATGGTCCTGAGTGCTTGTCACACTGGGGTGTTAGTGGCAGGGTAGGGACGGTACTTCCCATCCAAAAACTTTGAAAAGGGGGGTGGGGGTTATAGTGTTAGGGGGTGCTTGTCACTGCTGTCTGGTCCAAGTTGCCCTTAATACTGGTAGGGTGATGAAGGCCCCCCGGTCCTACCGGGTTTGCAGCTCTGAATTGATGGGATAATCACAGATGTTTTGTCCCCATTGGCAATACACGAAGAACAATGTAAATGGTGCTTCTGGTACCTACTCTTGCCTGAAATTTTGCGTTTTGTTTCGACTATCACAAGACGTTGATTATCAATGAATCATCTGCATTGTTTCTGTGGCCATGGCTTCACATGCCGAAGACCATGTTTGATGATCCTTGTCATTTGCCACTTTAGAAAGAAAGACAAGTAAACGCGCTGCGGCTACGCCTCGGCAGGGGGAACGTACGTAATTGAAGAAGTGAATTTTCCATCCGAATGAGAATGAACACAGAAATGTATGAAGTTTTGACACTGCGACACTCTCTCTCTCTCTCTCTCTCTCTCTCTCTCTCTCTCTCTCTCTCTCTCTCTCTCTCTCTCTCTCTCTCTCTCTCTCAGATGAAAAGATTTGAGGTCGCCTGCGACACATCTTTTCTTCCCCTCCATCTCATGCCGGGTTTCACATACAGGAGAAGCAGCATAATAATCTTCTCTTTCCCCCCCCTTCCTTGTGCCACCGCACTGGCCAACAGGTAAGTCTCCAACCCCGCAGCTATCGATAGAATGAGCAAAATGAATCTCCCGCTAGAATATGGAAATATACACTACTTTGCTCGCTATGCCACTTTCCTCTCGACCACGCTGCCAGCTGGCTACGCTATGCTACTCTCCTCTCGATCTTGCCGCTAGCTGGCTGCATTCTCTCGTTTTCCTCTTGGATCCTTCCTTCCCACCCTTCGATCTCCCGTGCAGTCTTCGCGCCCCTCGGTGTCCTTGCTCATTTGTACGTTATCCCGCTCTTCTTCCCTCTCCTTCATATCTCCTCTCTTTTCGCCATGCAGTCTCCTTTCTCCTTGGTGTCCCTCCCCCTCCTACCTTACGCCGCTCTCTTCTCGATAGTGATCCTGGCTGCCCTGCAGGGTGCCCACCTCTCGCAGTGCTTGCTATGCTGCTCTCTTCTCGGTCACGATGCTAGGCCCCCTACCACTTCCTCGCCTCTGCTAGCACTTGCTCTCCTCTCGATGGCCAGTGCGTTGCCAGCTGGCTACGCTATGCCCCAACTGTGACTGCGAAAATTGGTTGGGTGCTTCCATAGCCCACACCCGAACCATTCCTGTCCGGTCTGTAGGGGTGGCCACTCACAGCGGTGAATATTTAGAAATCTGTGAGACCCGTCATACAACTTTCCCCTGCTCTTGCATGTCACTCTATCCTGCCCTCCACATATTTCTTTCCTTCCCGTTGCCCCTACCTCTCCTGCCCCATACTCCTAGAGAACTCCGCCTTCTATCCCTTACCCTCCACCCTCCCCTCCACTCCCTTTGTACTACTAACAAATACATACGAATGAGCATCATTAAGAGTATAGACGATATGAAGATCAGAAATGAAATGGACGGAAGTATGAAGATGAAGGACGGACACAAAGGCTGTATAAGCTGAAGTACTGAAATGAAACGGACAGGAGTATGAAGCTCTGAAGAGATGCACAGGAGCATACCTTCCCTTTTACTCTGCCTCCTGAAATAACGTGCAAGTGGGCCGTGGAGGCACACGGGGATGTGGGCAGCTGCCGCTCAAGCACAATCAAAGTGGGCAGCCTTGCGCGTAAGAGGCACAGTAAAAGGGGAGCTGCAAGAACAATAAAAGGGGTACCCCAAGAACAACCAAAAAACTGTCTAATTATAAAATTGCTTTAATATGTTGGACATCTCAAATGCTCTCATTGTCTGCAATAGGATAAAGACTGCTTTGATTCTGAATTTATTCACCTGGGTGGAATTGGGGCTGTTGTGGGGAAAATCTAAAACACACACACACACACACACATCATCACACACACACACACGTGCGCGTGTGCGTGCGCGTGCATTCGCCCGCGCGTGTAGTAGTGTTTATTTCGATGTTCTAGCGGAAGATCCATTCGATTTTGCTCATCCTATCGATGGAAGTTTGCGTGAGGCCAGTCACGGGGTTGGAGACTTACCTGTTGGCCGGTGCATTGCTCATCCTATCGATTGAAAACTCGTCTCTCTCTCTCTCTCTCTCTCTCTCTCTCTCTCTCTCTCTCTCTCTCTCTCTCTC